AACGAAAAGCCTAAAGAATAGTCGGAGAGCTGATGGGATGCAAAAACGAATCTATGACCAGCTAGGAAAACAACACTTTTGGCTACCATTTTAATGTGCTCGAAATGAAAGAAGAAGGGACATAATAACAGCCTAGTTATTCTGCTAACTTGAAAATTCGTTAGTATATACTAACGAATATCCAAAATATATGAACTAATATCCAAGTCTGTTGAGTATCTAGATAACACATACTAGTATTCAAAACATCACAAACTAGTATTCAGATAGCAGATACCAACTAATATCCACAATCAACCAACTAGTATTCAATATGGATACTCTTAAGTGTTATCGGGATACTAATTATGTGTTATATGGATACTATTCTGTGTTGTCTAGATATTAGTTTATGAATTTGGGATAATAGTTGATTCATGGTGGATATCAGTTAGCAAACTTTGAATACTAGTCTGTGCTCTCTAGATACTTTAGTACTTGGATACTAGTTCATGTATTTTGGATATCAGTTAGTATCTGCTAACGAATTTTCAAGTTAGCAGATTAACTTTCCCCCATAAGAAGAGGAGATCTTAGTGGAAGGGCCTTCCGCACAAACGGTCTTAGAATCCAATCAACAAGAAGTACATAAATCGGGTAAATTGCAAGTTTGGTCACTTGAAATTACTAAAACATTTGATGTTTGCCAAATTTATTCCATTCGTGGTCACTTAAGTTCTGTAAGGGAGTTACAAACTGAGGATTATATGTATTCTAGAACTCATAAGTACTGGGGATGATGCCACCTCAATTATTAAGTCCTTGAGCAACGACTTATGTAAGGTCTCTGACATTACAGGCTTTGGTGCGGGAATCTGGATCCTTTAGAATGAGTGTGCGATAACAACTAAATTCGTGTTATTTAGTCCTCATATTTAGGGGGTTTTTTATAGTAATTTCATGGTCTTCATAATTGTTTTGTCATCAAATATACCCTTGTTTCATTCCTTTTAGAATATATTGCTACTTTAGGGTGTATTAGACAATATGTACAAATTAGGTACCAAATGGGTCACATGTGTAGCAAGAATGAGAGATCACGGTCGAGGACATGAAGAGGTGCAGTAAAGTAGAGTACCAAGATCGTCGCCTCCAACCTCAAGAGGACGATCGAGATCTCTGGAGCAATGGGCGTATACTTGGAGAGGCAGCCAACCTGAGAGAAACAGAGAGTTTTGCAATCGAATCGTAGTCCTCGCCTTTCCAGCCCACTAGAAAAATCGCGGAAGCGACTCACGGATCACGACAATTAAATCAGCCAACGATCTCCCCTTGAATGAAGAGCAAAATTAACGACAACTCTTGAAGATCGTGGCCTCACCCCATAAGTTCAAGGCCGCGAACTTTGACCCTACAACCGTGAACTTGCCCGGAATTTCAAAATTCTATAAATAGTCCTTCCCCCTTGAGAAAATGGCTTTTGGCAGATTTTTTATTCTAGAGAGAGAAGTAGAAGTTTGGAGAAGAAAAGAAGGAGGAGAGCTTTGGAGGAGGACTTTCATCAATTAAAGACCCCCTTCCTCATGATTTCTTCCTCTCTTTGTATATATTTTCTTACTCCCTTCATGGGGTAATCTCCCAAGGTACTAGGGATTAAAAACCCCAAACCCTAGATTTGGTTTATTATGTAGATTTATGAATTATGTTAGGGTTTATGAACGGATTTGTTTATCTAGTGATTTTATTGCTTCATATACGATTAATTATGCTTGGGTAAGTCACCCTACTCTTCCCTATTAGCCTACAACAAAGCCATCGCTAGGCCGGAGTTTTAGGGTTACACTGCATAGCGCCATCTGGCATATTAAGGGTATATTAATGGTTTTAGGTTCTTGTAGTGAACGGCAATCCTACGCCTGCTACAAGAACGCCTTCCTAGACGATACTTTAGGGGAACGCAAGCATGTATATATCCCTCTCTTTAGTGTGTGCGATAGGTAGAACCTATTGAAATGAGCTAAATTCGTAATTCCTCAGATATGTGAGCCTTGACTGAGGTGACAATGGGTCTTGGGGAACGTACTCGGAGGCGCGAGATAAAGACGAAGGCCCACAAGATTAGAGAGCTCATGCACCATATCCGATAAACCCAAAATAGTTAGATCTAAAGTAGGGCGAGGGAGTTACCCTGAAGTACCTTTTCTTATCTATAGATCTTTATTTTAGGAATCACTAACGGCCCACCTGCTAAGTAATAGGGTGACTAGATAACGACCGAGCCTAAGTAGTCTAGTATACCGTGACCCTTTTGACTACGACCGAGCCACTTTACTACATCTCTAGCGTGGTTTAACTTGCCTAGTTAGGAGTGACTGGTGAGTGTGCATTGACTTATAAGTTTAAATCTCGATCACAACGCGATCAGTGTGACTTATGACACTCAATTCCTAGTCTTTATCACTCCCATTCTAGATACATTTTCCCCTTCTATCAATGCATCTTTGGTGGTTTTGACTATGTTTCATATTAAATTCATAACTATTTGGACAATGTGCTTATTATAGACCTTAAGTGTGTTTCTGTACTATTTGATGTCTTTATGGTGTTGTTTTGTGCTTTTCTGACCTAATAGGTCAGAAGGAAGACTATAATAAGAACTCATTGGATCAAACAGAGATGGATTTTTGTACATGGAATGCTCACTTTATGGCCAAAACAAGCAGACCTGGTAGTGAAGCAACCCCAACTTGGACCAAGGCCCATGAGAGATTTTCCTACTAACAACCGTTCTACAAATTGGAGGAGGATTTACTTGGGCTAGAAGCAACCCGACCCAGGTGAAAAAGGAGCGGCGACCCAACATCAATACCAACCGCTACTAGCTCTAATTCCTCAAGAAAACTTTCTAAAGAAGCTACTTCGTCCACAAGTCGAAGTATATGTCGTACTTAACATATTTTTAGTTATTTTACAGTATGCATAAAAAACTTACGATTTTACACTTTGATTCAACGCTTTACAATTTTACCCCTTTTCGCTTCTAGGTTGAATCACGCTTTTGACTGCATTGCATATGCCTATGCAATGTGTGTACAAAGTGGTGGATAAGTTCTTAGCTAACAAGCTTAAGCCATTGATGCCCAACTTGTACATAGGAACCAGTCCAGTTTCGTTCCTAACAGGCATATTGCTGATAACATCATCATCCTACAGGAAACGATGCATTCTATATCCAATAAAAGTGGACGGAGGTGCATATGCTCTTAAAAGTGGACCTTGCTAAAGCCTATGACAAACTGGATTGGCACTTTTTCATGAAACACTTAGAGCTTCCTGGATCCCCGAATGCTACATCAAGCTCATTATGGAATGTGTGACCACTACAAGGTTACCATGTGATCTTGAATGACGGTGAAACTAATATCTTCAAACCAACAAGAGGCCTTAGACAAGGATGTCCCCTCTCTCCCTATATTTTTACTCTTTGCATTGAGAGACGTAGCCACTGCATTTTTTATGAGGTGAAAAATGGATGTTGGAAACCCCGAGTTTGTCCCCTAAGGGGGTCTGCCTTCTCCCATCTTTGCTTTAATGATAACCTAGTGTTATTTCTTGAGACTAACCCTAAACATGTTGACATTTTGATGAATTGCTTGGGTGGATTTTGCAAAGCCTCTAGTGAATCTGTTGGCAGGTAGACGGTTAGAGTGTTGGTTTCCAAGAAAGTTAAGAACCAGACATGGGCTGAAATTTTTAATAGACTTGGGATACAAGCAACCAATGATTTGGGAAAATATCTAGGTGTTCATGTGGTTCATGCCTCATGGTCACATTACTTATAATATCTACAAGGTATATCATTGACAGAATTGACTAAACACTATCTAGTTGGAAAGCTAATACCCTCTCCTTAGTTGACAGGGCCACTCTTGCTCTTTCTATTCTTAATGCCCTCATTACCTACGCTATGCAAACCACCTCCCTCAGCTTTTGTTTGTGATATCATTGATAGAAAAGTTAGAAGACACATCTGGTCTATTGGGAGAATATTTGTAAGCCTAAAGAGCAATGAGGAGTAGGTTTAAAATCTGGCTGTCAGTTACATATGACTTGTATGATCAAGCTTGGTTGGAACATGTTGAACAATGAGAATAATTTATGGGTTCAAGTTTTATAGGGGAAGTATTTTAAGCATCAAAATGGTAATATTTTGTCTATGAAAGAAGTAATCATTCTGACCTGTGGAAAGTTATTGTTAAAGGCATGACTCTGATGAAACATGCCACATGTTGGAGCACAAGAGATGGGAAGACTATCAAGTTCTAGACTCAATCTTGACTCGATAGTGATACTGTCTTGGATAATTTCTTTCCTTATGATATTACTGAATATGACAATGACTCGATGGTGGCGGATTGGACCACGGAGGAAGGTGAGTGAGATTTGGATAGGCTGATATGTGTTCTCCCTGATGATGCTCTCTTGCTGATTGCATGAATGGAGGCACCAAATCTTAACTATGACTTGTGATGCATCAGCATCTGCTTACTAACAAAGAGAGAACGAGGAGAAAGATTACGACGAACAGCTGCTGCAACTACTGCAAATATGAGGAAGAAACCATTGACCACGTTGTGCAAAGCTGCTGTAAAGACATAAGCATTTGGGAGAAGCTTTAGGTATTTTTGGCAGTGCAGAACCTGAATATGCCTTTGATGGAATGGTTGATTACTAACCTCGAGAATCATGACACTGGTATCGAATTTGGTGTCATATGTTGGCACCTTTCGAAGTACAGGAATGAAGAGGTTATAGAAGGAACAACTTTCTTGTAGAATGGTTTGATCACAATGATCCCACCTTGCTTCAACATTGTCTAGCAGGCGCACCAGAGTGTTCAGAAGACAACCAACATTAAGACTGTGCAACGACATTCTAAGATGAATGGATGGAATCCAACAAGTGTGGGATTGATCCAACTTCAATCCATCGGATTGGTCCTCTCTCCAACTGGCAACCTCGGCTCATGTTCCACCACCGCTGCATAACTGAAAGAAGCGGCGGAAGGGCTACGATCGCATGGCAAAGAGGATACTGAAAAATCTAACTCAATATGGACTCCTCAACGACATTGACATTATTAAACACTGCCACAGGGACAATCACCAGATACACATACTCTCTCCTACCAACTCTACATTCCAAATACATTGCATTAACAAGCTAACACAAAAGCCAAAACGTACATTAACTCATAACTACAGATTTTACAACAGGAAATAGAAGGTCTGTGCTGTTCGCCTACCATCTGCAGGCAGCGATGATATATACCCCTGCCATTTCCTTACAGAGCTATTAGATTCTGGAAGCTGTAATGACACACCTTGCTGGCATAAAACTGTCCTCGTCAGCCACCAATTTGGATATTTTGCTGAGGTGGGAGGAGTTCAACGCGTTTATAACACCGTCGGATCGCCCGCCCCACGCATTTGCAGCAGGGCTGGTTATCGCACAAGGAGATCCAACAACATCAGGACGCGCAGAATGCCACCCCAGTGCTGGTATGGTAGCCAAATACAATGTGAACCACATTGTAAGAGGCAGTGTGCCAGAGAACACATAAAAATGAGAACATGTGCTAATTTGATGTCTATCCCTACGTACCGATGCAGCCAGAGAGCATATACTATTTTGCATTCAGGCAAATGTCTGGACAGACTTCTAGTAAGTCTTGCAAAACGACTTTTAAGAGGACCGTAGTATTTAATCACTATTCGATCTTAGCAAACCGCCCTCTGATTCTCGTTCGGCTTTCTGCTCGAGCCTTTCTCGATTCGTACCTAATATGCTTATCATACCTGTCATTGTTTTTTTATAAAACAAGTGAAACCAAATGTTAATTAGAATTGAGATGAACCTCCTAAACCCGCCTCGGCCAATAAATGTTAGCCATAAGTTCCGAGAAACTCAGTACCTTCTTGTTTTCTTCTTCTCCTTGTACCTTGAGATCGCAGAGTCCCTCTCCTGGCTGTTTAACAACTCGTATGCTGTAACTTTCAGAGCTGTGGCCGGTAATGTTGTAGCAGGATGATGGGGTTGTGCAGCTTCATCGCCATCATTCGCAAACGTTCCTTCCCCAGCTGCATTAGACTGCTTGTCAGGAGTTTCAGAATGTTCGTCTAAGTTGGCCCTCAGAATAGAAGAAACAAATGCTTGATTTGCAGCATCTTCGTTATCATTGTGCCAATGAAAAACATGTTCCTGTATAAGTACAACTGCTATGTTAACCGAGCAATAAACATGCCAACCAATAAGGGTTTCACAAGCAGAGAAATTTCACTGGACAGAAAAATCAACTACCCATAAACATGATGCAACAAAGTTCACATTCAGCAATGTGCAAATAGTAAGGCTGATTTTACCTCATAATAAGGGAACAACGCTGGTTCAACATGGGGCTCACAACCGGTGCTTGTTTGAAGCGAGTTTTGTTCAGGAGCAAGTGATCCCAACGACCCGGTGTGATCAAATTCTCCCTTCTCGGAATTCAATTGAGGTTCTAACCTGGCCATTCGACGAAGCTGCCGGATTATTTCCTCCTTGTATCGTCCGCAGGCCGCATTCCGGTTCTGAAAGTCCGACATAACGAAGAACCACAAGTTAAAAACACAGCAAGAAAACTAAACGAAAGGTGAAAGAAGCCATGGAAGCTTGCCTTGGGCAGAGGAGGAACTCCCAATGCCTTCAAATCCCGACCCGAATCCACAGAAACTATCAAATCATCGATGCTACCAACAGGAGGGCTCTCCCAAACAAGGAATTCAGAGTAGCCATCTACCAGATCCGACTCGTCAGGAACAGACCCAACCAACCCATCGTTATCTTCTTCCCCCAAAATCATCAACCCATTTTTACTCTTAACCCCCAAATCTTCAAACCCTAAAAGACCCATCAATTCATTCACCGAAGGGCAGTCGCTAAACCCATCGATCGGCCTCCGGCTGTGAAGCGAGGAGAAGGAGTGTCGGTGGGTCTCCCAATCGCAGTTCTGGCACAGAACGGAGCGCTCCGTCTCGCAGAAGATGGAGGCAGGGGAGGCGTCACAAGCGTCGCAGAGCAGCCATCGAGTGTGTTTGGTGAAGAGCTGGTTGGTGGAATGAACTTCACGGTCGCAGGCGAGACATAGCCTAGCGGAATCTGCTCTGCAGTACAGCACGGCGGTGGCTTGGTTGCAGTAATCGCAGAGCCGCGGCGGCGGCTTCGGTACATCGTCTTGCTCCTCGGATTTCGGGAGCCCATTCATGAAATCAGCCATACCTGAAGCTGGTTGATTAATCTTCGATTACTAGCATCAGTAGTAAATCTTCTATCCTCTGCCAGGAAATGAATCTAACCTTAGGCTGAAGCTGGAGGTAGCTTTACATATACAGAGCATGTGGATTGTGGATAGATGAGACAATGAAAGCAAGGGGAAGAACAATGGGAAAAGGAAAAACAAAAATAGAAGGGTAGGAGAAAGAAAAAAAAAATATCTTACCACCATTTCTTGATGGCCAAGGAGTTCCTAAGAAAGTATCTCGAAGAACTGGGACCCGACGGGTTCTCCATTTTCAACCTTTCCTTTCTCGGAATAGCTATCGTGTAACGTTCCAGTAGTCCCACGGTAGCAGATATCATATGAGGAATAGGGGTAAATTGCAAGGTTGGTAATTAAAATTATCGAAAATATTTATATTTGATCACTAAAAATATTAAAATTTATTTATAATTACTAAAATTAGTTAAATATTTCAAGTTTGGTCAATCTCAATCCAACTCAGTTAACTTTTGTTTACGAAACAACCAACTCTTATAATTGACCATTAAAAATATGAAATGACAATTAAAAAATAAATAACATTTTAACATTTTCCTACTCATTTCCAACTATTAAAAAGATAAAAATAGAATTAATTTTTTATAATCCACAAAACCCTAGCCATTTGCCCCCTGCATTTCCCCACTGCCGCCTCTCAATCTCTCTTCTCACCGCCGTGTCCCCTAGGCGGTGAAAAGTAGACTGAACGAGCTCCCTCCGGTTCACCTCTCTCTCTCTCTCTCTCCCCCCTCTCTACTTGCATTCGTCATTTACTCTTTCGTCGGCAAGATCACCGACGACTCTTCCAAATGCCTACTCATCGCCACTCACTCCTTCACCCGCGAAATCTCAGTCGCCACTCACTCCTTTGCCCCGAGATCACTTTGTCACTCACTCCTTGCACCGACGAGCTTGCGATTGCAAGGGGGGAAGGGAAATCGTGAGAAGCGGGGGCAACGAGTTAGAACAATTGGATAATTGGGTTCACAATTGGATCTATGAAATCCCCACTGTTTAATAGCAGTAGCAGATCGACGCGCACGGTTTCAGCTGTCGGGAACTTTTGTCAGCTGTGCTAGTCGCCAAGATCTAGGTTTTAATTGCCTTTTTGTCGTTCCAATCAAACAAAGCACTGGCAAAAGTTTGACGCGGCGGGGATGCTTGAGCGAGGAAATCACCCAACCTCCTGAAAAGACTAATACAAAAGCAGCCATATCTCTCGCTCTCCCTTCCCTGCGAGTGGTTGCGAGGCGGTGCGGCGGATGGCAGGCGGTGTGCTGAGAAGACTGGAGATGGAGGCAGAGCCTGAAAGACAGGCAACGATGGTGGTGTGGGAGTGCAGTGACGGCGACGCAAGACTGGAAGCAGAGCTGGTCGGAGAATTACGACAATGGCGATGCAGTGCCGAGGTAGGGATGTCAATCCAACCCGTAACCATGGGTACCCTACCCGATCGTAACCGGTCAACGAGGGTAATTATCCACTTTGACGGGTTAAGGGACGGGTACGAGTAATACCCGGTTTCAAAATAAAGGGTAGAGTACGGGTATGGTAATCGATAATACCCGCCCCGTTATACCCGCCCTGCTAACCAAAGGGTCAATTTCCCTTGAGAAATTTATTTTAGCTTGAGAAATTGAATTTAGCTACCAGTATTGATGATGAAGATGTAGACAATTATTATGTTTGTGTGGATTGTAGAAGCAAGAACAATTATTATGTGTTTGCTGTTTTTATTTGTGTGGATTGTTGAAGCTAGAACAGTTACAAGTATTGAGAATTTTTAATGGACAACAGTATGTATGTGCATATATGTGTATAAGTTCATAGTTTAGGATTCGTACCCATGGTTACCCGAATACCCGTGGTTGCCCGGTGGGTAGGGTATGGTTATATAATTTTCATACCCGGTGGGTATTTTGTCGGGTATTTTAGAAAGCTCTACCCGGCGGGTTAGGAGTTGGTATAGGGTAAACCTGCACCTGACCCTACCCATTGCCATCCCTACTCCGAGGTGAGGATTTTTGTCGGCAACGATATTTATTATGTTTTGATTATTTTTTTTTCAGTTCCTAAGCTTATGGATAGTTATTCCATGAGACCACCACCTACGACAATTGATATATCTCCGGTCGATTCTGTACTTCTTTGGGCACATGGTTAACATCGTGTCGACTCATTTGGGTAAACGAGGTAATTCTTTCGTAACAAATTTTCTTTAAAGTTCATTAGCTAGCTAGATTATATGTTAGATTTTTACTAGGTGAACTGAACTTAAGTTTTAATAGAATTACGAATGAATTTTTTTGAAATTAGTATAAGTTTAGATTAGATAGATGTTTAGCTTAGATAGATTTTACTAGGTGAACTGAAATTAGAATTACGTATGAAATTGAATTAATATAAGTTTTGTGCGCTATAGGATGGTGATCGAGTTTACCATATTCGAGGTACGGTCCAGATAGTCACGTACCATCCACGTTATCAGACGTACCTCATCGAGAAGGGCTTGATTAGTGTTCTACAATTGGTCTGTATGACTGTTGATGCATGTTTGATCATTGTGCTCGTAGAGCGTTGGCGACACGAGACATCGACCTTTCACTTGTCATTTGACGAGGTTATGATCACTTTAGAGAACGTTGTGACATTGGCCGGTCTAGTGATCGACGGTGATGCCATCATAGTAGACATACTAGATGAGGAGTGGTCGGAGACCTGTGTGAGACTGTTAGGACGGGCTCCTAATGATCTTTCCGGCGGTGCCTTTAGGATTAGTTGGCTCAGGGATGAATTCAATAATCTGCCGACAAATGCATCACCAAAGACTACACATTAGTTTGCACGAGCTTATGCTCTATCTCTGATGGGAGGTGTATTGTTCCCCGATCGGACTGGAGCTATGGTTCATCTATAGTACCTACTCTTGGTGGAGGATTGGCAAAGAGCTGGACGGTTCGCCTGGGGAGCGGCTGTTTTAGCCTACCTAAACCGTGAGATGGGTAGGTTAGTTTTGTCGTCGAAGTGCACTGTGAGGGTGTTTGAACCCGTCATGTTGAAATTATTGGGAGGAGTCTGAACTACATAGATGCAATGACGTTGATCAACCCCCCTCACGGAATGTCCAACTGCCTTTTGTGCCCACGGCTTCATCAGATCTTCGACAGTCTTGGTGTATTGTGAATGACCATTTGTGCTTCTGTCTCCAACCCCGTCTTATCGAATTTCTCCAATAATCGCCAATAAGTATGTTGCACAAGAGAAGCTATTGGAAGTGAACGAATACCTTTGAAAACACTATTGATGCTCTCTGCCATGTTGGATGTCATGTAGACCATCGATGCCCACCATTAAGGTTATCATGTGCTAAGCTCCAACAGAGTTGATTTTGGTCCACCCAATTATCGCATGAAATATTTATCTCAACGGCCATCTTCTTAAATGCTCAACTTGACAATCGAACTTCTCCAAACGTTTTTTCTCCGGCTAACACAATAAATAACCACACGAGTTAGATATATTCATGAAAAAATTAAATAAAAATAAAGAATAAAGAACCATAACAATGAAGGCTTACCTACTCGAAACAGTTGATTATACATAATCTTGCTTTTAGTCTTCCTTTGCAAGTTGATTGCATAGTGTCGAATACACCACTTCCATTGCCAACCTCTTCCGATGTCACTCATGGCTTCATAGAGTCTCACATGTCTATTTGAGATGATGCAGCCATCATTTCGATCGGTCAAACCTTGAAGGTGTCTTATGAACCATGGCCAACTATTAGTATTCTCGCTCTCCACTATGGCAAATGCAATTGGAAAAATCTTCTTTTGACCATCAAATGAACTTGCCATGAGTAGCACTCCTTTATACTTTCTAGTAAGAAATATGTCATCAACAACCAAGACTCCTGGAAAATTCTTGAATCCATCTACACAAGGTCCATAAGCCCAGAATACTCGCTGAAATATCAAATGACCAGGTTGCGATGAAGGAACTCTTACCCAATCAATCATCGATGTTGGCATTTTTCTCTTTACCACTCGCAAGAACGTTTGCAAATAATCATAGGATTCTTCTCAATTTCCATGAAACTTCTCTAATGCTCTTTGATTCCCATACAAAGCCTTCTTGTAAGTAACTTGCATATTAAACTTATCTATCAGCTCGGCCTGCATAGTTAGAACACTAAGATTTGGTTGGGCACGTACCCAATGCTTCACACACTCAAATATAACATCGACATCAAGATGATGATCCGTCGATTGAGTTGTACTACTAAAAGAATGCACCAACTTGGCATTTCTCACAGTCCATTCACTTCCAACATCTCGACATCCAAACCGCACCATCCAAGCACAATTGTCATCCTTGTGCTTCAAGCATTTGATCTTCCTGATTGAAGGTGTCGACTCCACCACGACATACTGAAAGTTGCGTTATAGTGCGTGGTATTTAATTGCCACCTGTGCAGCTTGTTTGGAGTGAAATATTTGCCCCTTGTAGAATTCTCCTTCAAAATCAGTAACAATAGGCATTGGAATTACGTCATATGAATCTGTATATGATAATTCGTAGTCCTCTTCATTACCTTGCAAGTAAAATTTTGGAGGATAATTAGGCTCTTCTTCCCATTCTTCCTCCTCCTCCTCCTCATCTTCCTCCTCTCCGTCATCATAGTCATGATCATATGGCACACTCCATGTCTCATCTTCACCCTGATCCTGACTAATCTCAGCATGTATCTCAATCTATCATCATCCACAATAGGCATCGCATAATGTAATAAAACATCATCCTGTCATTTCTAAAGTTTGTAAGTGAAACCTCAGATTGCAGTCGTCATGTTTTGCCCAATGACTTTCGTACCTAAAATCCTTAATGACAATTCATTGGTAGTGTTTAAGTTTGAAATTTGGAGGTATATGAAGATTTTTTGGGTTAGAAATTTTGTTTTGATGAGACCCTGATTCTTTATAAATTTTGAATAAGGTGCGTTAGTTGCAAATTTCAAAGGTGTGTCGAAAGATTCTCTTGAATTGGGAATTCTTGTGATGAATGTTTGGATTGATATTGTGAAAGTTCCTAGTCCACCGCCCAAATTTTTAAATTTGAGGGCTCCAAGCATATTAACTTCTTTTACATGATCACCTGGGCATTTTTAGAACTAGTGTTTTGACTTTCATGGCCCATTAGTGTTGATGCATGACTAGTATGATTGATATCGAAATCAACTTATGATGACAA